GTTTTGGGGAAGAGTGGGGACGGCTCCCCCGAAGATTGGCCGATCAGAGGGGACGATTGGCGGTTAACAGCCAGTCAAACGGACTCGGATTGGGTCCGGGGAAAAGAACCGAAACACTTTGAGAAGGGATACGATAAACGCAATCGGGAGTTTATGTAGACGGGAAGTGCTCATTCTCCTTGCCGGGAGTGTTTGATTGAAGGGGGGTAAAATTGCTAGGTTGAGTGAACTACTAGTCGGGTTTATAGAGGGTATGGAAGGGAGACGTTGGAGGCTGGGTTCCGTTTGCACACAACCCTTACCAAAGCTTCGCATTGCTGATCAAGGACAACGATCCACGGTTCCTTGAACCCGACCTTGCACCGTAGGAATTCATCATAGGAACAAAATCTACGACTCCCGTTCAAGTATAGTTGGGTGTCCACAACGGGCGTCTTCAACGTGGCGAAATTGCGGAGGCGGCGCGGTGCGACCACACATTGGGAGGATTCGCATCGCTCTTCTTTCCTTGAAGGGAAATATGATCGGATCGATCTGTCCCGTCGATTTGTCGGATATCTCGACATCGTGGTGACCGGATGAGCAGCTCATCAAGTAGATTGACATCTGCAGCGGAACCGTTGAATATGGAAAGAGGAGACCCGGGAGAAAAAAAATATGTAAAAATTCGAATTTGATCTCGGTCAAATTCTGCTCCGCACAGAACCTGCGAGGGTGTATAATCTTTCCTTACCTGATGATCTCCATCTTTTGAATTTGAGGCCCTTACACAACTTAAGATGTGTTGATGTAAGCGGAAGTTAATCAAAGTGAAGACCAGCAAATACCGAAACCAATTATCGGCGGGACTTGACTTTGATGACCCAATTTTACCGAGGGTATGATGATACATACGTAGATGAACATACGACGATCTCATCACGATTGAGAGAAGGATCATGGGTACCTTGTTTCCCGCCTCTTGATTCATGATGTAGGGAAATCGGACATACATACTATGTACAGCCACCCAGCCGCCACGATCGACAGGGCACTAACAATGGGTTGCCTCTCCGCTGGACCCTGAAGCTAGGGCCATTTCTGGAAGGCGGAAGAAAGGATAAGCTGGGTACGGACTGTACATACGAGCAGCCGGGGGAGCCGCTTGTAAGGATAAGGTCGCAGTGCAGAGTATGATAATACGGTCTCGTAGGATTGCTCTCCCTCGCACGGGGGAAGCATCGCACGGATGCTCGTGGGGCGCGGATGATACTCGATTGATCTTAGCGCTGGCCAGCCCCCCCCAATCAGCGGACAGAACCCTTGCATAGTCAGGCCACCAAGTCAGGTGAGATGCAAGGTGTGCTATTGTTAGCTCGGGAGCTGCCCGTTCTTGTCCTGTACGGCTGCCCAGGTGCCAACTGTGTGGTTGAAGATGAGCTACAATAGACTAGGTTTACGCCTTGGCTCGAATGGGAAGGATTTGGGGTCTGCAACTGCTAGAATGGGGAGCTGTGTAGCGAAATAGTCCCGAGACCATGAGGTCAACCGTACGATGGGATTTGCCTTCACACGAGTGATGAGTAGGAGGGGGATGAGGATGTGAGTGAGTTGGGAGAATGACCCAACCACCCGCAGCCACCTCGTGTACTGGTGACTCGAGGGAATGGTATACAGTACGCGTGTGCGTGCGAACGCGCTGCAGGTCAACTTTTCCATACGTACATACGCATACATACACATAAACATAACACGTAGGTAATCATGACACACGCACACGAGGGTAATCTGGTGCAGAGAAGTGACCAAGGCGGCCGAGCCGGAGACAAGGGGCAGCCAATGGAGGGGCTTGGAGAGATCCGCGGTGGACCCGAGCATCTCTGGAGAAGAGGTTGGCACGAAGCAGGGTCTTTGCTCCGTAGGGATGGATGGAGGGGAAAGGACTCTCCTTCACCCCCCATCTGGCACGGGGGTAACCCTTTGGATCGACAAACAGCAAGGGCTGGAGGTAGCTCGAGGGACGCAACTTTAGTTCTGACGGACATACGTATTATGTACTCTGTACTCTGTACCCTGTACGCATAATTCGTACAGAGGTCATCGTGTTTGCGACCGAATGAGGTTGGACAAAGTGGCTGGGTTAGTTTCCCGCCATCCTCAGATCAGTTAGGGCGTAAGCTAATTATACAACACCATACTCTCGGAAATAGAAACCTAGCGTGAGCCAAGCCTTTCGATTGGCAGTTGAAACAACGAGAAAAACCGTCGGAAGCTGATGACCGAATTAATTGGATCTGGGGGAGGTTTGTGGTGTTGTTGATGATGATGATGATGGATGGGATTGGAGGCTGTGCTTGAACCTCCCCCCCCCCTTCACCCTTCACACCCTTTGCCTTCGTACGGAGTGCCGCGGATACTATACGATTGAATTGCCGTGTCCGTGGTTCTCTTCACCCTGCAGCCTTCTTTTTTTTTTTATTCCCACATGCCCTTGTAAACTAGGGGTCCACATTTTTTTTTTCACTTTTACATTTTTTTTTTCTCCCTTCGTCTGCATACGGCTCTGCCCGCCAAGTTGGAGTTGCCAAGTACTTAGGGTACCGTCATAAAATCTTCTATTGATCCACGATTTCTTCTCTTGTGGATTATGGACCCAAGGTTAATAGATATCGATAGCTAAAAAAAAAATCCATATTTGACAAAGAAGAATAGTAGATTTAGTAAATCGTCCGATCAGTTGAGTCCTTTGGATCTGCTCGGTCGGACACTTCGGAAGATCACAACGGGCGGTGATAAGTGGTCTCCGACGACCCCCCACTGTTGTACATACACCAGGATGACTCCCCGACAGAAAAGCGTGCCGTTGTACTGGTGTGGTTGTGATGTACATATGTATGGAGTACAGATGTACAGATAAACACATGTACAGAGTATACACATGTACACATGTAGGTATACATGTGTATGTATGTACAATAATACCCAACCACCCCTCCTGCCACCCCCCAAGGGAGGAGGAGGAAGTTAGGTCAGGTCATCCAGAGCCACTACTTGGACTCGATGGTAAAACTATAATAGATACACACCCTCGCAGCCAATTATTGAGTGAATGTTGCTTTCCCCGAGACCCTGGACCGTGTCACGGCTCTATTTCCTCCGGAACCAGACGAGTACCATGATGATGCCAAGTTTTTTTTCTTGACCCCCAGTTCTCTCGACATCGGTTGCTCTGTGCATCCCCCGCCACGATTACCCACTAGTCCCTTAGTCTGACTGCTTGGAGCTCAAGGGTGGACACCCCGAGGTCAGAAAATAAATTCCACAAAAATGGGATTTTTGGCCCATCCGAGTCCGAGATGCCCACTTTTTTATTTCTTTTATTTCTTTTATTTCTCGATTTTTCCTTTTCCAAAAGGGTAAAAGCGTAGAGGACTTTTGTCTCCACTGCTCGCAGGCCCTATACAGTTTAGGCCCAAAGTTGCACTCTGACCAGGGCTGTTCTGACTGCTAATAATAATTCACTCTCATATCGAATAATGTACCCTCGTCGCTTTTAACCCTTCTGATTCCTTGCTTCGATCTTGATCTTCCCTTCCCCTCTTCCTTCTCCTCCCTTCCTCTTATTATTTCCTTCCCCAAGGCTCGTTGTTATGACACCTTGAAAGGTTCCACATTCGCTCAACACACACACCCACGTTCGCTCATACGCTCGCTTTTCGCTGCTACGAGAACCACGTTCGCTACGTTTTAACAGAAAACAAAAAAAAAAGAAATACTTCTTTTGGTCTGCAAAGGAGATAAGGGTATTATCTTTTATTTGAACTATTGATCTACTACCGAAACGACCCCCCAAAAATCACACCCCCCATTAAGGAAAGCTCCCGGTTATAACCCGAATATTCTTAATATTTAATTATCACAACGCCTTGCGCCTATTCGTTGGACGCACCCTTGATTTACAATATTTCCCGCGACGTTCGAACTGCAGGGAAGATATCAAGTGGGGGAGGACGCAGGAAATCGGAGATTGTAATTGACAATCGCCTGTCGTTTGCGCATCTCATCTCGACCTCGTCGTGTCCGTGGGCATCCGTTTGTTCCGCACCTGCGACAATTCGATCGGACTACCTCCCATCACCAACGTTGATTGCGATCGTCCGTCTTATTTTCTTTCGAATTTTGAATCTAGAAAAGCATATGTTCTAGAGTCATCCATCGCCGCCATCAAATCTCCCAGTTCACTCGCTACTGGGCTTTTGTTGTCTCGGCTGAAAGCACCACCTCCCGTGTCTCACTACACACGGCGCAAGAGCATCAACTATCAGCTTAAGGTTGGTACCCCACTCCCCCTTCGCCCACGGTCTCACTCCCCTCCTCGTGCCTTGCATTACTTCCTCTTCAGGCGTGTCTGTCGTATCTCCTTGCAGTCAAAGGTCGTGCCCTTCGATCTGCGGGAGTTCCGGGAGATGACGAGCGTCGTCGAGCCGCCGGACCATCTTCCCCGTATCCATAATCACCCGGGAGTAGCTGTTTGTTATTGACATTGGACTCTCTCGTCAGGTTATTTCTCATTTGCAAAACTTGCATAATAGGAGACATCCACGGCAGATCGGTCTCAGTTCTCTCTTCTTGACATATCCCGTGAGTCTCTATTTCTGGTCTATGCACCAATCCGGTTTCCCCTCCCTCTCCTCTCTATTACAGAACTTGGGGCTTGAAGAAACCAACACACCAAGAAAAGGAAAAGAGAGTTTGTGCTCATTACTGGAGTAGTTCGCCCCTTCGCTTGAGAAAGAATCATTTGGCACCCAATCCGCTTGAAGCCTTCCCGAAACCTATACGGGTCACGCACAGAAAGAAAGCAAAACCTCACCAGTCCGCGTGTCTCTCATCAGAATAAACCCTGAGAATTTCATCCACACGACTTTCGTCCAATCTCGGACGCCCTTTCGACCTAAATAGCGGTGGCATTTCAACTTGCCTTCCTCTAACACGACAGGTTCCATCCCCCCCAGGGCTTTATGAACCTTTGGGCACTAGCATTTCGTGATTTGAGTCTCTATCTGCAGCCAGCCTTCCTCTAGTTTCAGCCTTAGTGTACTCCCAATATTGGATGGTGATTCGAGGCTCTTCTCTGTGAGACTGACCGCAATCTTTCATCTCGTCGCTCGTTCTTGTCTCGGAGAACCCCTTTCTCGTGTACGCGCGTGGCGACGTACTATCGGTTGGAAGATATATTTCCAGTCATTCGCTTCAAGTTCTCTAGCAATTCGGTCTTGTTGCACTTGCTGCAACATCTTCAAGCTGGCTTACTCGAAGACACACGGTGTTTTGGTAAGATACCCCAGCTACTTCTTGTTTCGCCTTTCTTCTGGATTCCCGCATGTTTTGCCTTTTCTTCCAATCCCCGCTCAGCCTTCTATCTGCCCTCCTGACTTTCCTCACTCTGCGAAAACTTCTCGGCTGACTCTTATCTTTCTTCCCTGTGTTTTCAGTTCGATCCGGATTTCCAAACGCCTTTAATCTACGGCGAAACGTTGGATCTCTCAGATTCTGAGGAGTCACAGTTCGTCGGTGCGTTTTCAGACGGCCTGTGGGCCAAGTCTGAGCCCTTTCTGTCTATGTCTAATTACCAGAAGCCCGCTCCTGGCGCTGTACTTGGTAAGTCGCCCCACTTTCTGTATCAAACTCTGGTGTCAGTGATACTGAGACTGCTCGAACATAGACTACGCTTCCACAACACGGTCTCTCCATGATGCTGGTTCATATTCGGCCTATGGCCAATCCCCATACGTGACGGCCTCTATTGTTCCCTCGCCAATGGGTGACCAGGCCAGTCAAGCTTCCGACTGTGTCCCTTATCTACAGGGCAACGAATATGCCAGCTCGTACGACGAAGCTCCTTCTCCTGTCATGGCTGCAACTGCTCGGCCTCTGCCTGAGATCATTAGCTATCGCCCTCAACGTGGCTCCGAGGGTACAAAGGTGGCCGTTTACATCCAGTCGCCTTTTGATCTTCACAGCTCCAATTATGGCGCTCTGTATCTGATTTTCGGCTCCAAGCGATGTGAATGTATTCCCACGTTTTATGGATTCCAGGGTTCTGCTTTTTCATACTGCCTAACAGTCCAAGCCCCTGAATTTACTTCGACTGCATCGCCTTCTTTCGCGGTTCCCATTCAGCTTGTTGTCGAGACCCAGAGTGACTGTCAGCCTACCACTCTCCAAGTTGGTGTCTACACTTATGAGCAGGGTCCTCACGCTTCTCCCCTTGCGGATTCTCGCAAGAGGAAGCTATCTACCTACTCAGAAAACCCCATCTCGGCGCCTGCCAAGCGCCCAGCTCCTGGACCCGTTGTGATGCCCAAGATTGAATCGCACGACGCCTACTCCTACCGCGATAACCGCTCTGGATCATTCTCACCATATCTGCAACCTCTTCCCGCCATGTCTGGATTCGTCACCCCATTCCATGCCGCCTCTTCTCCTCGCACCGCATCTTCTTGCTACCCAGGGGTGTCTGCTACTCCCCAGCAGTCGGTAATCCGTGCCCCATCGCCCTTGACTCCTGGCTGGAGTCCCGGCTACCTGTCGGCTGATGTCAGGGCCCCTGGCATGTCTGTGGTTCACGGAATCACTCAGCACAGAGGACCTTCCCCTATGCGCTCCTCCAACCCGACTCTTATCCGTACCTCTACTTTGCAGCAAGCCAACGGCCTCAGCCAAACCCAGTCATTCAACCCCTATGCAATCTACCCTACCAAGGCCATTCTCAAGCTTAGTGGCGATCTGGATAGTATGGCCGAGGGCTGGAGCAAAGAAGAGCAGGGTGCTCAGCGTCGTCTCGTGGAGTTTACCCGGACTCAGACTGGGAGCACCATTCACGCTGATTTCAAGCCCGTATCTCTCGAGAAGCGTGCGACACACAGCATTTGCATCAGCTGTATCAGCTGGGAAGGCAAGGATGAGTGTTTCGTCACCAGCGTGGATACCATCTACTTGCTTGAGTCGCTGGTCGGTGTGCGTTTCACTGTTGAGGAGAAGAACCGAATTCGCCGCAATCTGGAAGGGTTCCGTCCTCTTACTGTTTCCAAAGCCAAGCAAGACAGCGAAGAGTTCTTCAAGGTCATTATGGGCTTCCCTAACCCTAAGCCCCGCAACATTGAGAAGGATGTCAAGGTCTTCCCCTGGAAAATTCTGAGCCACGCTCTGAAGAAGATTATTGGGAAATATGTGAGTACCACTGGGAATTCATCATATACAATCTGACATCATGTACTAATCATATTCGTCTATAGTCTGCTAGTTATTCTTCCACCGCAGCTGCTCTGCCCACGCCGATCACAAACTACGCCAGTCATGGAACCGGTTCCGACTCGGGCACCGAGCCTCACACTGCTGCTTCCCCGCGATCAGTGTCTGATTCCGGTCCGGCTCATAATTACGCTCACGCCATGGGCGCACCCGTCTATACACAAGCTGAGCACCCATCGATGACAGCGGTTCCCGATCTCCGATCGGTGATCCCTGCTCACAGCCAGCCATATACTTCCGTGGGCGGATACTCCTACCCAGCAATCTGTCAGCCGCAGCATGCCCACAGCCTAGTTGCTCCGACACCCCGTTCGGCCTGGGATATCCATGGCCTGGGCTCTGCTCCTCCTGCTAGCACTGCAGCGCCATCCACTGCATGCTACAGCTACATGGATCCCGTGTACCCGCTGCATGACTCGGCGCACAGCCAATGAACACGCTGACCAGCACATGTGATCTCATCTATTCGATTCGATTTTTTGGTTTTGCTTTTTTGCGTCCTTTTTTATCTTTCTATTTTTATATTTCCCCTCTTGCTCCGTTGATACACGATTCTCCTTCCTGTCACTCCTTGATAACACGCCCAGAGTCGACATGGGGCCAACGCCGCTTGGACATGGGTCTTCGGCTCATGTCTAATCGTGCCCGTCCTATCGTCAACCTATTTACGATTTGAACGTCTCTCCTTTACAACATTTCACGCCTGAATGCCCTCAACCCACCCTTTATCGCATTTTTTTTTCCCGACATGGTTTGACACCTGTCACCTGCATTTGTTTTAGACGGTGTCTTCTTCATTCCTTTTACTGGGTTGCATCCTCCACCTGCCGGGCATTTTGGGCTTTACTCTCCTTTTACACTACACATCTGGGCTACTGTACGACTATTTGGCATAGCATTAGGCGCTGCTGTCATTCCTTTGAGCATTCGCAGGACGGATTTTGGGATAGATTTATTTGATTTCGGAGACGGAGGTGAATCGGTCAGCCTTGCTGTTGGTCTTTATTCCCTCCTGGCGCATTCGGGAAATGCGGTTCTTTGAGAGAATGGCCGCTTCGGTGGTTTCTCTTCTTGGGACTGGTTTCCCTTGCTCGGAACTTATTGGGAGTTTTGTTGTTTGTTTTGGACTTTTTTGTTATATTTTTTTTTCTCTCGTCTTGAGCTGAGGGTTGTTTTGTCTCCTAACTGCATTGTTCAGGCGTTTGGGAAGAGATGGGCTGCTGTGCCCTTTGTATCTTGGTTTAGTATTTAGTTTTGTTCGAACTTGTTCATTTTGAACTTCTCAAATACGTTCTTCCATAATAGTTGTGATACTTGTAGCAATGTAGAAACTGTCGCCTTGGTCCAAGTAGTAAACTGACTGTTGAATCGTTACCACCACCTGCGGGGATGGCACATACTAGTATAGTTCAAATATTTGGGTGCGGGCTGGAGTGAGTGTTACTCAGCCCACGATAATTGACACGAGCACGCGCATGCCAACCAAGTGCTAAAAGACTATATATTATAGATGATAAAATTCCAATTCCCATTCCTCCGGCACTTTAAGTACTAATAGTCACCGTAGGCGGCACGCCTACGGTGACTATTATTCTTAAACTCCGACTCCGCATACTTCGGCAAATCCCACATGGGGCAGATTACTCAGCGCTATCTTATCGACACACGTGACTGCGCGGGGCGAAATCGGCGGCCGGCGAAAAAGGCCAAGCCAAATCTGATTGACTCACTCGGCTCGATTGGAATCCCAACTTCATTCTCCATTTGCATTTATTTGTTTTAACTCCCCGGGTTACACGGTAAATTCCCGATCGCTTCTCCTCCATCCATCCAGGTCGTGATTGACCTTTGACCTTACCTTTCCTACAACCTTTTCCATATTGCCCCGCGCGGCCCCTAGTCATCTTCAATATGGAGCACATCAAGCAGACATTCGCCAAATGCAAGGAGCAGAAGCGGGCGGCCCTGGTGGCCTATGTGACCGCCGGATACCCCACCGCAGAGGAGGCTGTTGATATTATGCTGGGTCTGGAGAACGGTGGTGCAGGTACGTAATGATATTCAATTGGCGGGGTATTGACCATTGTGGACTGACGGAATACCTCACGATCATAGACATCATCGAACTTGGAATCCCCTTCACTGACCCCATTGCCGACGGTCCTACTATCCAAAAAGCTAACACCAAGGCCCTCGAGAATGGTGTTACTGTCACATCGGTACTGGAGATGGTCCGCACCGCCCGTCGCCGTGGCCTGCAGACTCCTGTTATGCTTATGGGCTACTACAACCCTGTTCTGCGTTACGGTGATGAGCGTATGCTCAAGGATTGTAAGGAGGCCGGTGTCAATGGTTTTATCATGGTTGATCTTCCTCCCGAGGAGGCTGTTCGCTTCCGTGACCTCTGCGCCAGCTACGGGTATGTTCTACCTCAATTAGAGAAGAAGTTGCCTATATTAATACCCTTCCAGACTCTCATATGTTCCTCTCATCGCACCCGCCACCTCCGACTCTCGCATGAAGCTTCTTTGCAAGATTGCCGATTCTTTCATCTACGTCGTCTCCCGCATGGGTGTCACCGGTGCTACCGGCAAGCTGAGCGCCAACATCCCCGAACTCCTCGCCCGTGTCCACGAATACTCCGGAAACGTTCCAGCCGCTCTTGGATTTGGTGTCAGCACCCGTGAGCACTTCCTGTCTGTCCAGGAAACTGCTGAGGGTTGCGTCATTGGTAGTCAGATCATCACTGTTATTGGCCAAGCTCCCCCTGGCCAGGCTGCCAAGGCCGCCGAGGAATACCTTACCGGCGTTACTGGTCGCAGACTCGAGCGTGATGCACAGGGTACTCTGACCCACGAAGTCAAGGTTATCGAGGCCATCGAGAAGGCCTTGCCAACTGCCGAGGCTGCCCCTACCAAGGTTATTACTGAGGCCGATACTCCTGCTGGCCCCGGTTTGGGAGACCAACTGGAGGCTCTGAATATCACCAAGGACCCCTCCTCTCAGCCTTCTCGTTTCGGCGAGTTCGGTGGTCAATACGTCCCAGAGTCCCTGATGGATTGTTTGGCTGAGCTCGAGCGTGGTTTCGACAAGGCCAACAATGACCCCGAGTTCTGGAAGGAATTCCGCTCGTACTACCCTTATATGAGCCGCCCCAGCAGCTTGCACCTTGCTCAGCGCCTGACCGATCACGTTGGTGGTGCTAACATCTGGCTTAAGCGCGAGGATCTCAACCACACTGGTAGCCACAAGATCAACAACGCCCTTGGGCAGATCCTTATTGCTCGTCGTTTGGGTAAGACCCGCATCATTGCTGAGACTGGTGCTGGACAGCACGGTGTTGCCACTGCTACCGTCTGTGCTAAGTTCGGCATGGCATGCACTGTCTACATGGGTGCCGAGGATGTGCGTCGCCAAGCTCTTAATGTCTTCCGCATGAAGCTTCTTGGTGCTTCGGTTGTTGCTGTTGACGCTGGCAGCCGTACCCTGCGTGATGCTGTCAACGAGGCCCTCCGCGCCTGGGTTGTTGAGCTTGACACCACCCACTATATCATCGGTTCTGCTATCGGCCCCCACCCCTTCCCCACCATTGTCCGTACTTTCCAGTCCGTGATTGGCAACGAGACCAAGGAGCAGATGATGGCTGAGATTGGCAAGCTCCCCGACGCTGTCGTGGCTTGCGTCGGTGGCGGTAGCAACGCTGTCGGCATGTTCTACCCTTTCTCCAACGACCCCAGTGTGAAGCTTGTTGGTGTTGAGGCCGGTGGTGATGGTGTGAATACCGCCCGTCACTCCGCTACTCTCTCCGGAGGATCCAAGGGTGTCCTTCACGGTGTGCGTACCTACGTCCTGCAGAACGAGCACGGGCAGATCTCCGAGACTCACTCTATCTCGGCTGGTCTGGACTACCCTGGTGTTGGTCCTGAGCTGAGTGCCTGGAAGGATGCTAACCGCGCCACTTTCATCGTTGCCGATGACGCCCAGGCTCTGGCTGGATTCCGCGCTCTTTCCCAACACGAGGGTATCATTCCCGCCCTCGAGTCTTCCCACGCCGTCTACGGTGTTATGGAGCTTGCCAAGTCTATGAAGAAGGGCGAGAACGTCGTTCTCAACTTGAGTGGACGTGGTGACAAGGATGTCCAGAGTGTCGCCGATGAGCTTCCCAACCTGGGCCCCAAGATTGGTTGGGACCTGCGCTTCTAAATTCCCTAACCCTCTTCTTTCTCTTATCAGATAAAGATAAGTGATCTTCTCCTACTCTCATGGAGGTTGTGGACTATGTAAAGTAGCAGTCACTTCTATGTCCTACCTTATACTGGCCATTGGTGTCAGTCGTTAGATGTTTTATACGAACGGTGTCAATAAAAGCGCGTCATTTTCGGGCTCGTTCTCGGCTTGTTCCCTATTTCTTGGATACAATTTTCTTATATGCAGACCTATACAATCAAGTGATATCCTTCTACCTTGTGCGTTCACGTACCCGTTCACTTCTGGCAACAAATTATGTCAAGTGTATAATTCATAAGAGCTATAGAGAATCCTCTACCTAAATACGTTTCCCAAACGCACAATCTATACCCAGAATTAAGCACAAAAAAGAAAGAAAGAAGCAAAACGGAACATCTAAAAATAACATGTACTCCAAAGTATAGTATTGACGCCCTGGCACCGGCAATTCCAAAACCCGTAAGCTACTAGTACCTACTAGCAGACGGCCTATTATATGCGAGCCACATTATCATCAGGATGCCTTCTAGGCTCCAGGTCATTCTCAGCTGCATGAAGCCAATCCAACAATCGCACCGGAGGCCCGACCTGATCGGGATGTGCGGCATGGAAATCTTCCAGCATGTGTGGTTGATATCGAAGCTCGGCGGCATCATACCATTTCTGATCTGCAGGCTTGCCGTACCATTTCACGCGGTACTTTAGTTTCTTACCGTACTTTCGCGATCGTAAGATTTCCTCTATGCGGTACTCCTCCTCCTCCTCCTCCTCCTCTTGCACTTTTTCTTCAAATTGTACCTGTATCTCTTCCTCTTTAATGATGGTCTCTTTCGGAGGATACGGTGATCGGTAGGATGTATTTTCCCATGCTGGAGTTTCTGTGCTGGGGATATGGCTATCGGGGTAATAAGTGGGGGGTGAAAGGCTAGGGCCAGGGTGTGGCGATGGTGCGAAGGTGGTAACAGGTGAAGGCGTAGAAGATGGAGATGATGGTGGAGATGGCGAACGTATCTGTCGATCTCGAGGGATCGTCGGAGTAGGCATCGAAGAAGAAGGAGATGGTGGATAAGAAAGATTGGGAGGGGAGGGAGGAGGCGTGGAGTCAAGAGAGGACCCAGGAGAAGGCCCAGGAGAAAACACAGGAGAGGGTAACTCCGAGTTGGCAGAAGACCAAGGGGGAGCTAACCAAGCTATAGTCCCAAACAAAATCGATATGATCCAGACCACGACAAATTTGATCAAAGATAGTGGAATACGTAGAAGCATGTTGACGATAACCAAAGACGTAAGCACCCATAACCAAACCCACGACAGAAGAATTCGGACAAATGATATCAAACCTTTACCGAACCAAAGTGGGACGGCATCAAAGCCCCACGATACGAACGTGTATAGTCTTCTTTCAATCCGAAATAGAACAGCTAGTGCGTGCCAATACAGGAAGAGAAACCCAGATATACACACCCACATGCCTGAAGCGAGTAACTTCACACCATGCCATCCCCGAGATAAACCAGATATCAACAACGATAGGCCATCGGAGAATACAGATATGGGAGTACCAATACTAGGTCTTGACCTGCGGATGCGATCGTAGGCCAACTTATAAATAGGCAAGGTGATGGTAGCGAAAAGAACTGGCGTAATGAGCACAACGACATAGCGGGAGCTGCCTCTCAACAAGCAATGAAACACGGTAAATGAGAACCGTTTCCAATAGCTAAACTTTCTCCAGATTGTGAAGAAGATTCGTTTAAGCCACTTGACAGTATTCTGGGGTGATGTCGTGATTGATTTGATCGAATATGAAGCCCACTTCAAGGGACTCAAATACCCTTCCTTGTCGACATACTGAGTATACTCACCCCAAAGTTCATCGGCGCTCGCTCCAAAAAGACCTCTCCAGAACTCATCTCCAGACCCCTTATGCTCTTTTAGCCAAGTTCTTTCTAACCCCCAGTAATACTCTTTCGAGATTCGATCGTTCAGAGAGGCGATTGATCCCCTCCCATTCTTCACGTTTTCAATCCATAGCAAAAAGTACGCCGTGTGCTCAGAATTTAGATCCCACTTAGCAGGCAGATTTCCGAGCAGTTCCGGCGTCTTGACTCCCTGCCACGCCAGATCGGCTTGAAGAGTGACGAATTTCGAAATTCCTTCTATGAGTGCTCGGGGTGGAGGTTGGTTCTGCTTCTTCTTGACATTCAGATAGTCAGGTCTTGTGTATTGGTAGACGTGCGCAAGCTCGTGCGTCAGAAGTTCCAATAGTACAAGTCGTCGGACTGCTGGCGTTTGCCAAGGGAGTGGATTTTCCCAGCTCTGTCGAAGCCAGCCGAGACTGAGATATAAAGTCCGCTTGGAAGGGTCCTCCGAGTTGAATGGCTCGAGTGTGCTCACCGAAAAATCAGTTTGCGTAAAATTATAGTCCTTGATAATGATAGATATGGAGTCGACATTCGGCGGAAGAAAGTAATTGATATAATCGGTTCTTGCCGCCCCGCCCGAAGTAGTGGTGGAGGGATTTATGTCCGTAAACCGCGAACTATATTGCTTTGCTTTGCTGTATATGTATCCAACTAGAAACAGTCCTTCGTACTTTTTCATGGGATTGATGGGCCGATAAAGACCGTTCATGACATTTTCCAGAGCTATTGGGATGAGATTGCCGATTTCGTGAAGGATAGAGCTGCAAGCAGGAGATGACGACTGGACCTTGTTTTGTTCGACATGAAAAGCAACTGTCTCCGGTTTTTTGGATCGCTGTGACCCCTCATCTTTTGGTCCGCCTGAAGTATCTGGTTTTGGGAGGACGAAGTCTAACATCCAATCGCTTTCGAAGTTCATTGTCAAATTGGATCGAGGTTTAAAACCAGCTATAGTACCAGGTACATCCTTCCATGAGGCGAGGTCTACCTTCCAGTCACTTCTAACTTGGGGAAAGCATAAAAGCAGCACGAATAAGTGCCACATGATCAAGTCCCTGATCTTTGACATATTGAGTTTCTAGACTTGAAGATTTCCGAGTACCATGAGCAACACCATCCAAGTGTTTGACGAAGTACGTATAGTCCGATGAAAAAGAAATAGCAGCTGGAAACTAGGTATCAATTTCAGTTAAAGAGAGAAAACGTAAATGGGACTATGTTCTCGAGTCGGGGTTTATAATGGGGAAAGAATTCTTTGTCCCAGTCCAGAATTCAAATGTGAGTTCGTGAAAGAGAATCATAATTATAGAGCAGAGTTTTAATGGAGAACAAAGACTGTGATTTCGTCTCTTCTTTGAACTCGACGACAGAGGGGAGTTTTTTTGATTCAAGGCTGAAAGCCGAATCAAAGTGTACTTTCGAGTTGGTTTCCGTCTGGTGCTGGGAGGTCAAAGAGTGATGATCATACTATTTTATGCAGAGTAAATACGTGGACGACACAAGGGGATACTACATATAGCAACTAGCATATTATCATTTAAGCTTGTCTGACTATATGTGTTCTTATACCGTACAGCAGTTTGAGTTGAAGATCAATATGAAAAATCAGTACAATGTTCGTCACTGGAAGAAAGATTCAATAGTCTTCTTGTATCTGTCAGTGCGCTCAGTTGAATTACCTACAATCCCATTTGGTGAGATGAATATAAGTACTTTTCTGTATAGGACCAAGTGATTTCCGATGGAAAGAAATGAGGCAAAATTGTAGTGGCTCGATGAATCGCTCCTATGGCTTTCATCCCCATTTTCTTTGTGCCGACTGTTGCCAGAAACTGGGAGCCTTCCTGACAAACGATTTACAGAAGGTAGTAGATGTTTGAAGTTAGATGGAAATATTTGAAATGAACGAAATGAAACTTTTCTCCGAGGAATACGTAAACCACCATGTCCTCAACAGATGTATCTTTAAATGCAGCGAAAGTCAACGAGCCTCAGTTCACCATCGATTTCCCCACAATGACGAGGTTTCTAGTGACTTCTACTTCTTGGTGGTAACAAAGAAGCTGTGACAAAAGGTCTCCCGGCAATAGAAACCCCGGAAATGGGGATCACTTGACAGCCAAAACGACCTATGGAAATTACTCGCAGTTGATGAGTAGGTCTAGGATCATTCGCATGGTGATAAAATCTTATCCTGAGAGAGCAACCTGACTCGAACCAAAATATTCAGATGAGTGAGAAAGCAAAAGGCAGTCTGTATCTTATCGAGACCCATCAAGGAAGATTGGGCAATTCTAATTAGCGGGGGAGCGTGGGGGTGACACTTTCAATAACCGACGGTGGGAGGCAGTATGGATCCACCATGGCTATTGAAGATATCACCATAATTTTGAAGAACAGATTGACATGATAGTAGAAGAAATATAAAACCAATGGATACAAAATGATAAATAAGCGGAATAATTTACTGCACGACTATTGGGGACGAACGCGAATGCGCGGATAGTTTTCCGAGCTCGGAGGTGGTGGCCGAGATGCCCTCATTTGTCTTCATTTCCCGTCGGTCTTCGTCCGATTACAGTGGGGAATCCGCGGGGGATTATTTCCCCGTACTTGAATGGTGGGGGAATTTCTGTCTCAGAGTCACCTTGGTTCTATCTCTTCCTTCCTTGTCTCTCTTTCTCTCCTTTCAACTCCTACGCCGTCACCATCATCATGAAGCTCCTCTACCCAACCTCAGTCCCCGGGCTCAACGTCCAAAGCCTCAAGGAGTTCGCCTCAGTGCACCCTTATGATGTCAAGTCTCCCATTCCCGAAGAGCACGTAGACGCCGACGTCCTCGTAACCTGGTCCAACGCACCCGACAACCTCAAAGATGCCGCCAAGCGCCTCAAGAACTTGAAATGGATCCAATCGCTCGCCGCCGGCCCCAACGACGTCCTGGGCGCCGGCTTCGATGCTTCCAAGATCATCATCACCACCGGCGTCGGTCTGCACGACTACCCCGTCGCCGAGCACGCCCTCGGTCTCCTCCTCTGCGGCGCACGCCGCTTCTACGAGATGCGCGACTACCAGCTCCAGTCTAAGTGGCCGCAACACCTGGGCGGATCATTCCCGCGCAGCGACTTCACCACATTGCGCGGTTCCCGCGTGCTGATTTGGGGATTCGGTAGTGTTGCGAAGACTCTCGCCCCGCACTTGACTCTCCTCGGTGCTGAGGTGAAGGGTATTGCTCGCAGTGCGGGCGTGCGCAATGGCATTGAGGTCTACGGCGAGGATAAGTTGGCGGAGCTTCTGCCGCAGACAGATGCCTTGGTGATGATTTTGCCTGGCTCGGACTCGACGCAGAATGTTCTGAATGCTGAGCGACTCAAGTTGCTGCCTAAGCACGCTTGGCTCGTGAATGTGGGACGTGGTGTCTCGGTCGATGAAGATGCTTTAGTGGACGCGCTGGAGAAGGGTGAGCTGGCTGGTGCTGCTCTTGATGTGTTCCAGACTGAGCCTTTGCCTGAATCGAGCCGGCTGTGGAAGGCGCCTAATGTGGTTATCTCGCCTCATGCTGCGGGTGGAAGACCCGTGGGCTGCGTGGAGTTGATTGCGAGTAACTTGCAACTCTTCCTGGCCCAGCAGCCGCTGAAGAACAAGATTTAAATACCATACACTTACGATGCAAAGATACTGGGAAATGAAGATATGCACATAAATGAATACAATTTGATATAGAATTTTGGGCAACGACTTCAAGTTTTGATCATGTCTGTCAGAATCGGTGGCAGGCGCACCGTCCTAGGGTAGCCGGAACTTCATGGCCCCAATTTTTGAATCCCTCCAGGGCTACTGTACTTGAACTTGAAACTCTACTAGGTACTCGATTCTAACAATTCAGGGTACCGAGTGTCATGACGTAACTAGGTAGGATACTATCTACCAATCTTGCAAGCAGTATACTAGTATTTTCCAAGGGTTTACATCTCCAAAACTGCCTACTGGCTAGTACCTACGCTATAATAGCCCTGGAGTAGTAATATAGTACTACCAAAGTCATCAAAATATCACCTACAACGAGGAACTGATACTAGTACTAATCCAAAGAGTACCAGGGCTACATTGGGGGGGTTATGGTATTGGTTTCGCAGATCCTCATATTCTAATTTTAATAAATGTCCGTTATTCATGAGTTCGGGGTATCGAGATAGGGGGAATGCAGGAGTCATGATCTAAGAAGACCAAATGGTACCCATGCCCCATGGTATAAAATGATGTTATCGGTGGATGATTGGCAGACCAGGTGAAACTCCAGCAGCAAAGGCAACGTCAGATAGTGTTAAGGGCGTTGGGTAGAATTTAATCCACTTTTGCCTGCGTAAGACTCTTTGGTGTTCGGAGATTGTTGGAGAGATGCACGTTTGCGTTTGTGTTTTTGTGTCGCTTTAGTTTGCGACGAGCAACCATAACAGGGACGGAGGAGTGTTGAAGTAGATAGTTGGAGAATGAACCAAGAAGAACTCTAGAATCACAAGTCAGCAGCTATTTTACCATATCTTGCTGGGACATGGTAATGCAGACCCTTTCAGGGCACTTTGGCCACGGGCACCAACGATCACCATAGTTGGTTCAAGTTCATCGATCTAGAGGTCGGGTTAGCTTGGGGCCTTCTCACTTTCGACAGAAATAAATTCCAAGCAATGTCAACTCACAGCCTCGGTGATCATAAGTTTAGGGCTCTTGCAATGGATCACTTCCACGGCAATCCGAACCTGCAGGAGAGTCTTGCGGAGAAGTTTCACACAGGTTTGCGATACCGCCTCGACGGCCCGTACGCGCTCTGTTTCCGCGAGTGAGGATACCCGCGAATCGGCCGAGCTCGACTTGCTGGCAGTTACAGGGCCCAGTCGGCCAAGTATTGTGCGGTTTTGAGAAGCCTCTCTGGTCTGTGAGCCCACAACCACCGCCGCATCTTGAATAGCCTTCGCCCCTTCTCCAACCTGCACAGAGGATGGATTCCCGTCCTCGTGTATGGTGTAGATTGCGTACATGGTATCTCCCTCCCTCAGAACAGTGCCGATGGTCCATTCCAAAGCATATACTGATTCCTCACTCAGGTCCGTCGCGACGAGATACTTCCGTTGACGCCGGCGGCCGCCATCGGCTTCTTCTTGTATGCTGGCATAGTTTCCCCGGACAATTGTTCGAATCGATCTGTTTGGAACGCGGTTGTCGATGGCAGACATGGAAATGCTGAGTTTCTGGGCACGATGAACATCTTCTTTTTCTGCCTCGTCTTCTGAGCCGTACGGGGTGCCAGCAGCAGACTGCGCGTATGGAGTCGGAATATCATAGCTGGTTCGAGGGTGGATGACAGTCTTGAGGGCGGATTTTCTGGGCTTCTTATCCATCCCGGGAATATTATGTTTGTTGATTGTTTTTGCTGCTTTGATTGTTAGCACGCCTTGTATAGTCAAAATAGATGCCAAGGTCACTTTTTGACCACGCACCTTCTTCCGAGGATTGGGTCTTGTCCTCTCTGGCTTTATTGAAGTCGCTGGGGGTGATCCTGGTAATATCGGAGCCTTTCTTCTTACGGCCTCGCGAATGAAGACCTCCCTCAATCTGATCATCGTCACTGGATGAATCATCACCATCATCTTCACTGCTCTCAATGATATTCTTGTCGCGGTCGAAGACGTCTTTGGCAAGACGCTCACCCGACTCCTCGTGCTCGGTCGGTTTGACATATCCTGGAAGAACGCCGGATTTCTTCCGACCCAAAGCTTCATCCGACTGGTTATGGGCATCTTGCATTATCGCTTTCCCTTTCTCCGTGTCGGCTAACGTTGGCTTTGACTCAAATTGGTGGGTACCTGGGGAAACAGATCGACTGAAATGCGACGTAGGCGACCGAGAATCAAGAGATGAGCCACGACGACTTGATCCACGACTTGAATCTCTACCGCGAGAAAAGCTGCGTGGGAACAGTCTTGATTCCAACCCCGACATCATTGCGGCCATGCCCTTCCGGCCTTGCGTCTTCTCCGATGACCTGTGAGAAGGATCCTCGGCGTCGGCGGTAGGCCGCTCCGGGGAGCTGGGGGCGGACGCCATGGCGAGAGAGATGTTTCGTAAGGGCGATGATTTGAGAGGTCCGGCCGAGTTGCGATTTGATCTTCGTGATGACGAAGCAACCCCGCCAACAACACTCCTTGCAGACTGCGGGGTGTTGCTCAGCAGACTTTGGACAGTGCGACCAATGCCCGGGGTTTTGGGGTCCGCAGAAATTGGGGGGATTGGAGGTGAAGCAGCAGGGTTTGCTGAGGATTTTGAAAGCTCCTGTGAGGCCTCAGGGAGCTTGGGGGAGATGCGACCAGAGTGGTACGACATCGCGTGCGGTACCGCCTCCGGCGGGTTGCTGTGGAGAAAGTTGACGGGAACCAACGAGGATGCTGAACGACAGTGGAATGTGGAGTTGATCGCCCACCTTACCAGTAATAGTAGTACATAGTACGAAGTAACTAGTGTATGCCTCGAGGTAGTGATAACTTGACTGATGGCCCAGGCAGTACCTAGTAGTAGTTGATTGGTGATTGATAGGATTGGCAGGAACAGCAAGAATAGCACTGCATACTTGGGTAGCTGCCAGACTAGTAGATCTCTACCAGCTAGTTATGTGTACCGAACTCCGTAGAAATACTGTAGATTGGGCTATGAACGCTAAATGAGAAAACAAGATCATACAGAACTAGGCTTTGGACTTCTTCGACTTGGTCTTTGCATCCTTCGACTTGCGAGCTCCAACAGCAGCGAATGCCTCCTCAGATGGCTCATCAGGCGGTCCACGCTTCTTCCCATTGGGCTGCGCATACTTCTCCTCCAGATGCGCGAGGAACCCTTGGCCCCGTTGTTGCTGACGCTTGGTTATCAAAGCCAATAGATCATCCTCACCCCCCGCCGAGCCCTTGGAGGCTTTCGCGGCCTTCTTCTTCTTATCATTCTCCATCTTCTTTGACATCTTCTCCGCCTCCTTGGCCTCCTTCTTCGCACGCTTGACCCGTCGATCGCGCTTTGCCTCTGACTCCTCGGTATAATTGTCATATTTCTCCACCTCGCCCGCGGCAATGGCCTCATCGATGATGGCCCGGAAGCGCTCATCGTCGTCCAGGACGTTGGAAAGCATCACCGACTCATAAATCCCGTCCAGATCACCCTCATTCGTCTCATATGCCTCCAGCAGATCTTTCTTCTCTTCATCGGAGCCTTGGTATTTCTTTTGGAAATCGGAGACCGCGCGCGTGTCGAGCATGGCGGAGAGCTGTTCGCGGTAAAAGTCCAGCCAGTCAAAGTCGCCATCTTCACCGAGCACTTCTTGCGTATTGCCGGTGCGATCGTACATGTTGCGACGCCGTTGGTCGGAGAGGACGGCGTAGGCGAGGGCGATTTTCTGAAATTTGGCATTTGCTTCGTCGCGAGCATCTTCGCTCACCTTGTCTATAGCACGGCGAATTAGTTTTTGTTCAGTCTCCATTCATACCTGGCAGAGATTTTGATCAGCGCTTACCTGGGTGGTGCCTCAAGGCATTCTTCTTGTATGCGGTCTTGATCGCCTCTGGTGTTGCTGTTGACTTAACACCGAGAATTTGGTAGAGATCTTCCTCGATCGAGGGTGGTTGGTCATCGGCGACCTTGTCAGCCTTGGATCCTTTAACCATCTTGAGATTTGGCGCGATTGATCCTAAGTAACCAAGATGCGCTCGCAGAGAATTGATGGCAGCAGTGTTTTTCCGAAGATTTCAATTTTCAATTTCAGGTTCAAGTTGAGCAGGTCGCGGGTCGCGATCTCCGACGCGCCTGTCATTCCGTCATTCTGCAGCCCCGACCGCTTTCAGCCTGACATCAGTGGGACATCTCTTCGTCTTTCTCTTTCTCTTTCAACTTGGACCATCTATTGACTCTTTCAATTTACTCACTCTGACATCGGTTGAATAACCACCTAGCTCGAATTGGATAGTCCTTTCGCGCATCCTCTCTGTGATCCTCGCCGCCAATTGAACTCCCCGATCAACCCCCCACAATGACGACCACCTCCCCGCACACCACCTACATGCAGAAATGCATCTCCCTCGCCGAACAGTCCCCTCCTCGACCGACAAACTTCCGCGTGGGCGCAATCCTCCTCTCTCGAAAAGACGGCGACTCTACCTACACCGACGACCGCATTCTCTCCACAGGCTACACCATGGAGTTGGCCGGAAACACCCACGCCGAGCAGTGCTGCTTTGCGAACTATGCCTCCGTCAACAACGTTGCCGAGGAGCAAGTGGGCGAAGTACTGCCCGTCGAGTCGGGCCGAAAGCTCATCATGTACGTCACGATGGAGCCATGTGGGAAGAGGCTGTCAGGGAATGCGCCGTGCGTGCAGCGGATTACTAGGACTCGGGACGGTGGGCGCGAGGGCATTCACAAGGTTTACTTTGGTGTGAAGGAGCCGACGACTTTTGTTGGGGAGTCTGAGGGGTGTAAGATGCTTTCGGATGCGGGGATTGAGTGGGAGCATGTCGCTGGTTTGGAGAGGGAGATCTTATCGGTCGCTGTGGCTGGTCATGAGAACCCGGAGGAGGAGGTTAGGTCTGCTTTGGGGAAGATGGGGACGAATGTTGATGATATTAGTGAAGAGGAGAGGCAGAGGCAGGCGCAAATACCCCGCAACCCGAAAAAGAGGATGATGGAGGGGGAAAACATTATTTACTAGATGAGAATAATAAAATATGATAAGACGAGTTCCCGAATGAATATTAGTCTTCTTGTTAGAGTGAAAATGGGACAGATATAACAAGTTCTAGCACTTGTGCTCGATAACATAGTCAGCTATACGCACTTTGATAGAAGTACGAACCCCAGTGTGTGAATGATTTAATTCAACATGCACTCCATCGACTCCCATAAAATTGGCATAAGAATTTCCATACCAGAGTGAGCCATTCGGCGCCTCAAATTTCTGTTTATTTTTCAAGAACCTGTCCTGCAGAAGAATCACATTGTTCCCATCGACACGTCAAATTCAAGACACGTGACACGCTCCACACCAACGATTCAACGACAATGTTCCAACATATCTGGTCCCCTTCAAGCGATCATAGCACCTTGACCGATTCCTCCGACGAGAAAATGACCTCATGGAGAAACACGACGATGCGGACCTTATCTTCTACCCCGCATTCTGCTTCAAGGCGTCCCCAACGCACTTCGCCTGGGTGAAAATGGCCCTGGCAGATGTGCACAAGCTTCATAGACCGGAAGGTTTCAATGGTATGAATACTCTTCTTTCTCTTCTCTGGCAGCATTGCTCTCTTTTAAATCACATTTCCTTGCTTCTGGCGTGAGCTGCCTCTTCCTCTCTTCGGGTTCAAGCTTTCCTATGCCCCGCTCTCCGTCGCGAGATACACCTCATACATTATCAACTCCCCCACCAACGGCGCATCTATATCCAAAAATAACTTCAGAGACCAACTAACAAAACCCAGGCCAAAAACTATTCTTCTACAAAAACCACCCAATAACCTACATCAGCGTCGTCGGCGTAATCGTATCCAGAAACGAAATCCCCCGCCGCACAATCCTCACCATAGACGACAGCAGCGGCGCCACGCTCGACATCGTAATCTTACAAGCAGATGCCAAAGAAAAACTCACAACAGAGAACACCGCGCCCGTCCGCTCATACCCGAGCGCATCCAGCACGGCCCCGTTCAATTTATCTCGGCCTGCGACTGATCTCTCAGCGGAAGATTCGCCCGATCTCCTGGCCATGAATCAAATCGTGCACGTCTCCGCGACGGATCGGACGATAATTGATGTCTCGAAACTTGTGCCCGGGACGACGGTTAAGGTTAAGGGGACGGTGAATCGATTTCGGGGAACGATGCAGGTTAATCTGGAGCGGTTTGCGCTGGTGCATGACACGAATTCTGAGATGCGGTTTATTGATGAACGGTTGAGGTTTTTGGTCGAGGTTCTTTCTTTGCCGTGGTTTTTGCTGGATGAGGAGGTTGAGGATTTGAGGCGGGAGGCGGAGAGGGGTGGGTTGGAGGTTGCGGAGGAGAGGAGGCGGGCTGAGAAGAGGGCGAGGATGAGGACGGAGAGGGAGGAGAGGGATCAGCGGCATATCCAGAGGCGGTATGAGAAGGAGGAGAGGAAGAGGGCGGTTGGGGCTGGGGTTTGTAGGGAGGATGGGGTCAAGGTCATGCATGATATTCGCAAGAAGAGGGCGCTTTCTGGGCAGCGGGGTTTGGGGAAGCAATAAGGCTGGTCGAGAACGGCGGAAGAGCCCTGGAGGGGTTATTTTGAGGCTGCCCAATTGGCACATGGCTTATTTCAATCTCTGGTCAGTCTACGGGTTCAAGTTCATTTGGATTTGGGGGAAACTCTGCAGTGGTATCAGATAGTAGTACAGCGGTACTACTACCAGTAGACACTACTAGTATATGCTCAGTGACCTAGGCATTTACCAAATTCTCATTTATAAAGTAGCGATAATGAGAGCTTTTATGCGCGAGCAGTATGTATTTAAGGAGAGATAGACATGAGAACTTGAAATCGTCATTCATTTCATCACAAACCCCAGAAACAGGGTATCTTCATGCCACGCGAAACGCCTAGCTGAAGAGAGATAATCCAAAAGAAAGAAAGGGGAGGGGGGAAAGCAAGAACACCCCGCAGCCAAAAAGTCACAAGAGGAACAGCCAAAAAAAAGGGGCCCAAATAACATTAGTGGTATGTCCAAATCACACATATCAGTGGTAGTACTTGGGCCCACCACCGTGTCCACCAAGCATACCGCGATAATAGTCATCACCGCTGCGACTGCTGCGATGATCTTTGAACCGACGGCTATCATCCCCATCAGGCAGGATAGAAGTTGGAGAATCCATGTATAAATCCGCGGCAGATATGCCCTCGTATCGGGGAGCGTTGTCGCGGCTGCTGTGCAGGTCGCTTTCCGAGTGTCGATAGTCGCCGGAACGTGTGTTCATCCCGCGAGACGAGCTGCGGGATGTTCGCGAGAATCGTCGAGAAGCCGGGCCGGAGCCAGTTCGGCCGTAGCGGGATTCGCGGTCAAACTTCTCCGCTGGTCGGTGCTGTGAGGGCGTCGAGGCTGTGCCTGTGATATCTGCTGGTCTGGATGTGGAGAAGGAGCCTGTTGAGCTGCCAGTGCGAGAGTGGCCTGGGCCGGACTCTTTGTATTGCTTTCCGCCTCCTGGGTGGGCGCTGTAGGGCTTTCTTTCTCGCTCGATGGAGACTGAGGGTGTTACTTCGTCATCTTCGTCATCAATTACAGCCGAGGATGATGCGGCAGAGGCTGTGGGTGGAGGACGTCCTCGTTCGTATGATCGAGCTCGGCCGGTGGATGAAATGGCTGGCTCGGGGGATCTCTTTGCAGTCGGTGGTCGTGAGAGCTCGCGTTCCTTTTCAGTGATGCGAGGCAGATCAACTCCACAGTGCTTCATTATGTACTCCTCGGTCTCCTCTCTTAGTTGAATATCAGCGGTGTCAGGGAAGAGTCGGCGTGGGATCTCTTTCGGAAACCGCTCTTTCTTGTCATCGGGATTGCTGATCGGCATGTTGAGTACAGCCTTCTGCAAGCGCTCGTATTCCCGATCCGGATGGGCTTGAATCATCATGGTGGCCCATTTTTCAAATCCTTTCGGGGTCAGTCCTGGGATATCAGGTCGTTCATGGAGATCAGCCGATTGGACCAGGTGGTGTTCCACTTTCACGTCGCGGAACAGTCTCGAGATGGAGGAGGTGCGGTCATCAAATATGTCTGTATAAATAGGTCAAAAAAAGAGTTCTGTATTCAGGTCGATTCGGGAAAGGGAAGAAAAAACCAACCTTTCCAAGGATAGTTATCTAGCGAAACATTTGTGTCCGCATAAAACTTTTGCAGCTTTTCAGGGACAATGACAAGGGTATTTCCCGGTGGGTAATCTTCGATCTATTCCCCCAACGTCAGTATCATCCTATACATGGACCATATGGATGATTATGACATACCAAGTGCATTGCAATTCCACGCAAAAATTGACCAAGCCTCTTTGTAGGCTTTCCGTCTTCAAAAAGCTTTCCCCAGATCCTCTCTAGCGTCGTCATCTCCATCACCGTCGTGTCACGCTCCGGACCCTTGGGGCGTGCTGCCTGGCTTCCATGACTAGACACCGACTCACGGCGCCGGGAAAATGACTCCTGTGACCTTGTGCGAGTATCATTTGAGTACTCGGATGGGGGCACATATGGCTGCGTATCAAAGCTCTTCGACATCGGATCGACGAACGGCGTTGACCCGCTTCTCTGAGAAGCAATCGGTGGAGACTCGGAGTGTGGTCGGGGAGCTAAGTCGGCCGCAGAGTATGGAGGCTGTAGTGACTGCGATCGAGCAGGAGGCTGACCAGACCCAGACCCAGACAAATTGCTATTCTCCAAGCCACTAGCTTTGAGTTGCTGGATCACGGTCGCGGTGATTTGCTGCAAGACGTCGGGGGACAAGTAGGCGGAAGACTCATTACTATGGACAGCAGAATTGACAGCATCGTTCAAATGGCCCGAGTTCGTACTCTCCGGGCGGGGAGGTTCTGGATATGGCGGCTCCATGCTTGGGGTAGCCGATGCGAGCGGAGGCATCTGCGGTTGGGGCATGTTCAGGTAGTCGTGTTCGTGGCGAGAGGGATATGGAGGATGCGGTGGGCCGTAAGGATCCTGATCGGAGGCCATATTGCCCATCTGGTAAGGGTTAGGGGTCGAACGGTAGCCATCGTAAGCCATCGCGACCAGGATGCGAGACGAGCCGTGGGGTTGGTTTGATTCTCTCTCACTCTCGCTCTGGCTCTAGCGGACAGCCCGCGGGGGTATGGGGCTAAGCAGACGGCAGAGAATTAAGGGAAAACCAACCACGAATACGGTCGGGGCCTGAGGAGGAGAGAGTGTGTCGCAGAAGGTAGAGAAATTGAGAGCGATGGAGGGGCTGTGGGGAAAACAGTGGCGATCTCAAACACAACTGCGTCACTGGACCCGGTGCAACAGCTTACAATAGTACTACCAGTACATTGTCAACTTGAATACTTGCAGCCCTGTGGGACTGGGCCCGACGTCACGAACCTTTGGATGTGGCGCATTTAATATATTAAAGTGTCACAAATTCTTGGGATGTCATATCCGCCAACTGGGCTGTAGCGTCATGATCGGCATCATTTAATCTATTCACTGATGGCTTCCATGCGATGCCTGCGTCGATTACGATTTCCTCGGCACCTATCAGAGCTGCTAGCAGCATGTTTCATGTTTTGCACAGATCGCTGCATCTGCAACTCGGCTGTAGACCCGACAGTTGGCTCTGCAGAGTAGGCCAGTGCGGCCACGCGCTGCCCGTCTGAGGTGGAGGCATGACCTGGTCCGAAGTTAGGAATTACCTTGGTTGAAAAAGAGCGGGACTGAGACTAGTGCATCTTCATTCTTGTGAGAAGAGAAAGAAAAGAAAGAAAGAAAGAAAGAAAGAAAAAGGACAACCGTCGACCTAAACATAAACAGAGTATTGCACTTTCCCAGTCGTTGGAGATGAGTGGAGAGTTGAATGGGATATTATTGGAACGTGGGGAAACGGAACCACCGATGTCATGACCATGGGTACCCCTGACCTCGACCCAGGGAAACAACGTATCGACAAATCATCGCCTTGATGTCATTTCATTCTCTTATGAGAGGAGAAGAGAGGAACGTAAAGCTCGAAGCTTCGAGAGGCTCAACTGTTTACTCACGTTGGCCTCGGCGATGACGATTCGGCTGATTTGCAAGCTTAGATTAGCCATGAAAGACATAGGAACAATTCCTGAGACATCATGAGACATCAATACTCACGCGAATTTTCGCCCACCCAGTTCGAGCCCGTTCGGGTCGTGGGACGATGGTATCATCGTCAGAGCCATATTCAAGCAGAAATTCATTATTCGTGGTCAAATCAGAACTTGCGCGAGATTCCTGTAATAGGAAGAAATTTTGGATCATTAAAACAGTTCACTGATTCTCTTCTTGAAGCAATATTAGGACAAACAGGAAGCAACTTACGGTCTCATCGTTGATCTCTGTCCGTGGAGGCCGAGGTTCTGTAGCCCGATTGACAGCACTTTCATATGCACGTCCACTTGTAGAAGGCTGTCTGAAACCATGGGCTGCATTGAGGGCATCATGATCAATGAGTCGATCTCGAGAAAGTGGCGATGGCTCAGCGGGAAGACCACAATCGTTGGTGCCTTCTTCAGCGACAAGAAGAGCGAGTCGGCGTCGGGGTGCAGGGGGAGGTCCCTCGATCGCTCGATCTGTGGGCGAGTCTTCCTCAGATCGCTGGAGAAGGCGTTGATTTTCACGTTTATCAAACTCGTCGTCGTTGTTCATCATGAAGTCCTGACAAGGAACGCATGTCTATCGAAAGCCATTTTTGATCAGTTCAAGTTTCAACCGTACAAGCATCCCTTTATATATCAACAAGCGTCGATGACCACTTACCGGCTCCGTATGCTGGCGCTGGTTTTTTGCAAAGGAGTCGAGGGTCTTGAAAGCCCCGCAGATTCTGCATTTACGCTCTGACTGCTGCAGGTTGCCCGAGCAATCACAGCACCGGATGAGACCTGCATGGTTCGCAGCCAAGATGCCGTTGCCCTCTCGATAAACTCTCTGCCGAAGAGCCGCAAGCGAAGCTTTTGAAAACCATGTCTTGGATTGACGGACTCCACACATAGAGCAAGTGAGCCTATAGCTATTAGATATTGCACCCAAGGTGACGAACACGACTGTATACTTACCACGCCGGAAGTACAATGCTGTCCACGCTGAAAGAGGTCAGTGGGAAAATCACTTCAGATAGAGATATCGAGAAAAGGAATGGACTTGCGCTCTTCTGACATTGGCATTGTAGCCGCCTCTGTAGGCACTCACACGTGAGCGATCCATGATAGCTGATTACTGAGGAAGGGTCTTGATTGGCACACAAAGATCTTCAAAGGATGGTTCACTCGGCTGTCCGGGAGAGAAGTAGAACTGGAGAGCGTAGAAGGCGAAATAGAGAGGCAAGAATGAAGCGAGGAAGGAAAGTTACGGCGGATGTGCATGGAAAAGCAAGGCACTTTTATGTGACGTTTGTGTATTGCTCAGCAGGCAAGCACCACCAGGTCGACAGCAACAATGCCAGACAATGCCATACGATCGTTGCCTAAACGTACCATTCACCTTCAAGCACAAATTTCCATAGACCAGCTTAATGAATAGCTCAATAAAAACGAAGCTCCAGCTCTCTAAGTGAGATACTAGTACTTCATGGGCAATATCAAACCGTTCGGGAAGGCCGCACACTGAGAGCCGCTGAAGCCCCGCCTTAATAATAGTGTATCAAGGACGTCTATAGAAGCGAATATCTATTACTACTACTAGTAGTAGTAGTAGTAGTAGTAGTAGTAGTAGTAGTAGTAGTAGTAGAAATCGTAGTATTCCGTGGGTTGCCTCTATAAATCCATGATATTACAGCAGAAACTTCAAGTTTTTAAGCTGAAGTAGCCCTTGTGGACTACTCCTAGCATATATTCCTAATTCCCAGTTTTGGATATTAATTTCAAACCACTATCGAGTAGGTACTACTAGTACTAGCACTACTAAGAGTAAAAGTATTCACGAGCTTTGAAGACTCCTTCCTAGAAGGTTTCTTGATAGTACATGATGCTGTAGCTTCAAGGTTCAAAGCTCTAAAGAACATTAGTATCTTACAGCTGTAAGCCTCATGCCTATGGCCACCAACCTATAACCGTACTAGTAGAAAAGATCATGGATACTAGTACTTTACGAATATATCTGGCTGCGTGGAAATGACAAAGTATATCCGCAGAAAATCTCAAACTCGGATGACAGACAGTAGGCAAGCCACCAGTGAAAGCATAAGGACATGTGGTCAATCCGCCTGGGCTTCCACTGGAACGGCGATACGTGGCAATGCCGGAGGAAGTGAAACAAACAAAGAAACGCTGGCGTCAGCGAGATATACCCAGGGCATCGAAAGTGAGCGATGAGCCCTAGAGGGCCATCGGGAATTTCAGCAGCAGTGTCACCGTCTTGGAGGAATCTTCCAAGGTTTTTGAAACATACTAGTATAGAATTTCCGCCGAAGAAACAGATAGACTATACTACTAGTACTCCTCCACTGCCAAAGCATCTCAGATACTAGTAAGCCACATCAAGTCCACGGATACATCATGGCCAACAGGTAGATGCAGATGGATATGGCAAGGACTCAATAAGCAAAAACCCGAAAGAGCACAGAAACAATAGGGACAATGGGACTGCCCTAAGCAAAAGCCATTGAACTAGAATCCACTCCCACACAATGAGACCTGTCGTAAGCCGGCTACAAGGATGATACCAACAATAGCTCATCAAGGCCCCATATAGGAGGCGGGTAAAATGTCCGAACAGATCCTCTAATGAAAGTGGGCATCTTCGCTTCAAGCCAACCTACTCCAAAACCAAAGCCTTGCTCCGTACGTACCTACCAAAGTGCCGAGGATGCAGGGACAGCTTGTCAGTTTCCTCGGCGACGTACCCACAATAGGGTAGGGTTTGAAATTAGATTCGACGGACGGAAGTTTGACAACCTTCCAGAAAGTTCATCAAACGAACATCAGGGGCCCGCGAAGTTACAACCCCTAGGCTAGGAAGGAGAAAGTCAGAGATAGACTAACCCAAGCCAAGCCCCCTCCCCTCCTCTGCTCCAAATATGCTCTAAATACGTCGATGATGACAGGGACCGTCGCCGGAAATAGTTAGGGGCCGCGCAGTTGGCCATGGAACCATGGTAAGGACCTTCCAGAAACGCCAAAGCGTCGAATGAGGGGACGCTTGGAGGCGGACGGTGGACTGTGGACTGTGGGACCCGACCCGAGATGCCTCGTGCAGCTAGCTTCCCGGAGCGGCGGTAATCCGTCGATTATCGTCAACCCTTCGTTTGGGATTGATGGGGTCGATCGAGGCGGAAAGGGGCGCACATGGCATTCTGATACGCTCCCTTGAGATTGTCTATGATTGTGAGCAAAAGGGGAGGGGGGCCGGTGTGCAAGTGCGTTTTTTGTTTATGTTCGGCGTCTGGTGTGGGTCGTGTTGAATTAGTTCGACATTTAGCTTCGAGGACGGAGTGCAGAGGATGTACAATTTGGAGACGTTTTCCGCTGTGTCGATTACGACTGGTAGAAGGGGGTGGATGGTGGTGGAGGAGAGGAGAAGGGATGATTGGTGATGTGGACTATGGCATGTGGGCGAACCCCTGGCAAGGTGGATGAAGCAGGAGGCGATGTAATGTATGTCTGCCTCGCCGCAATGAGGTGGCAAAGGGGGGCAAGAGGATGACGAGCGTAAGAGACGAGAGTGGGACTTCTGGCAATCATTTGGGGAGTTGAGGGGATGGGTGAGGGTCTATGAGCGATAGTGATGGACGGGGTGATGACCTTCTCGAAGGTCGAGGGAAGACGACGGCACCTCCCGGGGTTATGGCAACGGTGCAATAGTCCCATTCCTTAGGGGCCAGCGATCCTTTGCACAAAAGATGGACCTCTCCTCTCCTCTCGGGGAAGAGGAGCCTGGAGTTGAGGGCCCACGCAGGTGGAGTGCCCGTCGTTCCCCGAGCGCGCTAGGCCCACAACTTGGAGACTTTTGGGAGCTGTCCAGCAATGAAAGGGCTGGATGAGGATGCCTTTTGAGTTGCTATGTGAATTGGAACCCACTTGGTCTTTTTCAACAAAAGAGAACCGAGTTCTCTGCCAATGGTGTGGTGGGCGCATAGTCCCCATCGCACTAGGATTCTCTAATACTGCCTATTGGTACAATTGCTTTTAGCACTGCGCGAAGTCCCTTGCCAATGAAGTCTGCTGCATGCGGTGTGTACAATTGTACAGTGTACTTTGTCCTCCGGTGATTTACGGTGCGTCTCCTGTGAAGGTGCCCAAGCACTGTACATACAGCGTATGTATCTTGGTTCATTCTAAGGTTTAGTGGTGTGGTGTGGTATAGTGAGTGAAGTGAGACATACTGAAGAGGAGGTTTGACAACGAGATCCAGGTATGTATGTTTTGATTGGGCCCACTTGTAATCAAAAATAAAAATAAAAGTAAAGATACAAAGGATTAACGAATTAACTTGTGGGTTTCCACGGATTGACCACTTCCCGTACGTTGGTACCGTGTCTGTCGGTACGGCCCTTGGAACCCACCTTCACCCGCGGAACTCGACCATCAAAAATGGATGATTATCCCTGATGATGAACTAAGTACGGAGTACGGAGTAATTCCACACTGATCACAATATACCTTCAGATAGCCCCTATTCAATTATGCATGGAAAGGCGCAACGCGAATCAAGCAGTGGAGGAGTCTCAAACGGTGTATGATACAGATGGAGTACCCGAGTCTCCCCTCGTACTCGGTATGTACGAAGTAATGAGAAGTTGGAATGCAATATGGGGGGGGCTGCCCGTCCCATCCTTGCGGGCCAAACGGCCGCCCCAGGGTTCGTCTGTCCTGACAGGTGCGTTTCATTCTGCTGCAGGTAATCCATTACAAAGGCTCGTATTGATCCCCCCTAACTCCTCCTCTCCCGTTCTGACAGGTATGCGAGGATCATCCTCGATCGTCTTCCCATGTCTGTGTCCTCGGGTTCCTGGAGCTTGTGGAGTGGAGCTCGCCCAGAAAAGATAAAAAAGACAATCCTATGTACCCGGAAAGAGAGGGTGTGTGTGAGTGAGAAGAGGGTCGATATGGCGATTTCGTCCACCGGGCGACATCCGGTAGGGTAGGGATTAGCGCTCTAACGGTCTGCCGCGAAGAACGACGGCAAAAATTTAATATCCTTGACACGAAATCGGTAAGAGACTAGGCCGGGGAAGTGGTGATAGCGCCTTTTGCAGAACAAAGAAAAGCCATGCCCCGCTCCTGTTGGTCCTTCGTGTGTACTCCCTACGGAGTACATTGGTGGTGGGAGTTTTGTTGTTGTTGCGAGGTCAACCTGAATCAGGGCGCGCGCCATCTGGTTCCCAATCGAGGAAATTGCCCTCACGCAGTGTGACCAGGGTAGCCTCGCCTCCTGACAAGGCTGGCTACGATGCGATGCGATGCGATGCGATGGGACGATGGAACGGTGGAACGATGGGACGATGGATCGAAATATCATTTATTTATTCATTTATTCCCCCATCGGATGTAAGATGTACCACCGATGGGCGTCCCATTACCATGGTGTGCGGGTTAAGCTTACTCTTCTACCATTCCATTACATTAGTACTACGGAGTACTCGTAAACAAAGGAGAGCTCCATGCGAACGCCTCCGCGTCTCTCCGTCCTCCCCCCGAACCTAATTTCCATTTGGCCTTGATCAAATCCCGGTTCCCACCAAGATGGAGTCGAGATTCAAATAATTTATATAAAATATTCCGCGTGCATGAGAAAAAAAATTCAGATCATCCGCTACTGGGACCAGTCAGAGGGCAATCCTCGACTAGTCCTGAAAAACAGCCGGCTGGGTTCGGATTTGCGCCCACACCTTTCCCCAGGAACGCTCGGATAGGTGAAGATCAGGTGGCGAGAAATGAATGCCTGGTCAACCGGATCAACCCAGCCGGAGTGAAACAGGGGAATCGCCTCCGGAGGACGGAGGACGGAGTACGGAGTACAAGGAGTACATACGGCTTTGGATTTATTTAATTATAATTATAATCATACTGTATTATAGGACCTCATTTCAGAATTGGAGTTATTTTAAATTTGCTCCGTATTTAGGATTAACCAGTATGATGGCAACTCTTAATTCCCTCAGAGCTACTCCGTACTCCGTACCTAGGTATACCTTGACGTAGGACATGACATAACAGACATGGTCACAAGAAGGATTCTCCTTGCGGGCCAGACTGCGTCAGACTGCG